CTGACCTCTTCAGTCTTTCACAAATTATTCCTACGGCACTGCAGTTGAAATTAGGTGGGGCTCGGAAAATTATAAAACAAATATGACACAAAGAAGCAAGGGTATAATGCGACTGAAAGAGAACATGAAGACTTTAGGACAAGGAACCTGAAAACCAATCTTAAACGGAAAACAAAAAAGAAACCTCTGCACCTATGTAAAACTATGGGGCAAGAGTTTGAACAGGCTAATTAAAAACAATGAAAAATTTGAAGTAAAAATACAACAGTGCATTGGGAACAATGATACAGTTAAAGTAAAAAATACAAAAACGGCTGACAGAAAACAACTATAGAGATAAAGTGAAACAAGCTATCCCCATTGAAAACAAATATACAGTTAAAGTAAAATAACCGATCATTGGATAAAATGAAACAAAAAATTTAAATTTAAAAAGAAGAACCATTGGAATCAATGATAGAGTTAACTTAAAAACCATCTCATTGAAACCAATAATGCAGTTAAATAAAAACAAAATCATCTCATCGAAAACAATGATACATTCAAAGGAAAAAAAAAACATCTCATCAAATCATTGATACAATTAAAGTAAAAAGACAGACTCTTTGAAAATAATGATACAGTTTAAGTTTAAAAAAATATCAAAAAAATGACACAGTCAAACAAAAAACATCTCATCGAAAACACTGATACAGTTCAAGTAACATGCCAACTTATCGAAAACAATGATACCGTAAGTGTAAAGAACTTCCCATCGAAAACAATGATATAGTCAACGGAAAAAAAAACATTCCATCACAAACAATAATACAAGTAAAAATCTATCTAATCGAAAATAATGTTTCATTCAAGGTAAAACCATCTTATCTGAAACAATGATACAGTTAAAGTAAAAAAAAAAACAAAAAAAACATTTCATCAAAATCAATGATACAGTTAAAGGAAAAAAATACCATCCCATCTAAAACACTGATAGAATTCAATTAAAAAAAAATCCTGCTTTCGTATGACTAATGTGAATTCCTTTATCTTTTGCCACTGTAGAATTTGTTGAAATAAAATTGATACTAATGCGGAAGAGAGATTTAAGAAGAGCCATTTAACTTAGACCCTAAAGAGATGTTTCATTTATAAAAATTAGAACAAACAATTATATCATTTTTAAATAAATTTTAAATATCAAATAGTGTATCATTATCTCCAGTGTTTTGAATTTCACTGAAATAAAGAATATTTTAGACGTTAATCTTCGTCATAATTCCTCAGAAAATTCAGACGAGAATAATCCGTTAAGGGTTAATCCTCTCAAACGATTAGTATGCTGAGACATAATAGAAATATGTGGGGTTCTTGCGCATTTTGCCTATTATCTTTGATTATCTGTAATCTATTATAAGATATGTCATGAACAATTTTGCGCATGGCATAATATTTCAGAAGTCGTTATGCACAAAATATTTCCATAAGCTAAATGTAATATGACGAGAGAGATCTGCGTGTTTTTTTTCATTTTAATTTATTTGTACTTTGTAAAGTCATCTAAAGTCTATTTCAATTCTATAATTCTAACCTGTCCGCTTAAATTCTGAAATTTTATTTAATATTCATTTTAACTAAATAGGTACTCAATAGTTGATAGGTTGTCCTATCGTCCAGTTCACATTTTTCCCGGAATATTGAACAGGTATAGAGATTTATGACTTGTTTTCTGTTTCGGATTCGGCTTTCAGTTCCTTCTAAAGTGTTTTCACTCTCTTTTAATTCCAGTAGCCCCGCTTGCGTCGTAGTGCCATTATCGCCTTATTTGGGGTGAATTGTTTTTTTTTGTTTTGTTTTTTTTTTAAATAGCATCATTCATGATACAAAAGTTATAATGCACATACAGAAGCGATATTGGTCAAATATTTCACTAATAAGTGTTGTTTATACCGCGGTAATACAGGCATTTTCAGAAACATTTTTATCTACTGTGTTAAAATAAACCGCAATATTTACTGAGAACCAACCACGTACACACGTATAGATAATGAACTTAGCAAATACAGAACAACATAAAGGCGTATAAACGAGGATCGTCTCCTCATCGGAATTAATCTTTGCAGCGGGTCAAGACTAAGCAAACTAGAAGTCCTATCAGGATTTATTTTAAGTTGTGACAATCTTGACATTATAAGATATGCTCAACGTGTGGATGGGAAATATAAAAATAAAAATTTGGAAAAGACGGAATATGTGACACAGATGTCGACTCAAAGTAGTGAAATATATTATCCTATAGCTAAGCAAATTATGAAGAGATAGGAACTTATTGTTAGAAAAAAAGAAAATATTGCAGAATATATATAATATTAATCTACATATATCGGGTGTAACAACAAAATTGTCCAAATCGTGTAACAGCAAAATTGTTCAATTGTTAGATTAAAATTTGAAGTGTTTTATCTTTAAAATGATTAGATATATCTTACCGGAATTCTCCGAGTTTTTTTTTTTTTTTTTTTATAAAACTATAGGATTCTACTTTGAACAATAAGAATGTATTTAGTTCTAAGCTAAAATGATGATCCTTCGTGCTGTTGCAACCTCCTGATCTAGCGTTCCTTTATACTGTTCCCTCTTTTAAACTTATTCCCCATTCTCTGGGTGGTTCTTGAATAAACTTTAAAAGTGAAAGTCGGGGTATGAATGTTGGTAGCATTACTGAAGGCCTCAATGATTATTTTCCTTTCACCATTGCTCAGATATAGTTGGGCTGACATAAAACAATTTTAATCTGTTCTCTTTTTAGCTGAATAAGTCAAAGGGCTTATCTGTGACTCTTACGACAAATGGTGTCAAGATGGCTAAACATCTTATCTGAAAACCTGGAAAAAAGAAACTCATTTAAACTAGTGGTTTTGTTAGATATTAAACATTTTGTGGGATGGACAATTATCCCAAGTTGTTGCATGATTTTGACTATTTTTTCTGTTACACCCGGCATATGGCTAGGCAGATGGAGAAGGGATTTGAGGTATCAGTGGCGTAGTTCTACAGAAAGATGGCGAGAATACCATCGTCATTTCATGCAAATAAGGAGAACGTTTCAAGAAAAATTTGAACTAAAAGCAGACTTGTACTTAAAATTAAGGAGATACAACTGGAAATTCCAGAACACATTAAAAGGGAAGACGACTTGAAAAATTTGAGTCGCACAGGTTATATTAAAGACAAAAGGAGTCAATGGACCGAAAAGAAATTATATATATATATCACTGCTGTGCAGGAGAATTGGAATCACCCGGTGACCCAGCAGATTTTGTCTTTGTCTTGCGAGGCATTCTCCTATCTCGGAATTGTTCGCTTACTTTCACGATACCTATGCAACATAATACTGTAATTCATTTTACTATGTCCGTTACGTCACTAAACTGTTAAATTTCTGTACTTGCTTGAATTTAACGTCCACAATTCATATCTCCCTTGAATTTGTTTTAATTATTTCAAGACAAGCAAGGGAATAAAAAAACAATAAGACTTAAGGGGTTACTGAGTTTGAAAAAATATAACAAAATGATTTTAACGAGTGAGAACAACAGCGTAAAAGAAAGTAGGAACTAAGAAGACAGAGATAACGATTGATATTGCATTTAATTTTGTGAAAATCAAGATTGACTGAAAAACAAGAATCCAGAAGAGAATTTCACAAGAGAGAAGTGCGATAGATGAAAGATTTAGCATAGAACTTTCGCTTACATAAAATCATTTCAGTTATAAAATAATTAGGCCTTGTGACCAACCTATTACTACGCTTAAATTCATAGTCTAGGTAGCATAAAGAAACAATTACGATGAAAGCATTTATAGAAAAGGCACAGGGAAGCTACATTACGGTGATGGGAAATTGATTAAAGCAAGGATGCTAGATCAGGACCAATAGCATTGCAGATACATCTTTGGATTTTATCACGAATCTATGAATATATCGAAAGAGCACGAGTCTATATTCAAAGCACTGTAAATTGTTTTATTGACTAATTCATTTTCTACTGCTTATCAAACTTTTACTGGCAATTTAAAATCAGCTCACATTTTTAGATTGTAAGATGTTTTTTTAGATAATAAGGTCTTACTGGAACAAATTTAACTAATTAACCCGTAGGTGAAGGGAGGAAAGGGTATTTGCACTTAAGTGAATATAACGAACACATCGGGAATTGAAACTCGGCTCCCTGTTTAATAATTCCTAGCCATTATCCATTTCACTTACACACGCAAGCGCACAGAACCTGGAATTTCGAAACGGTCCCACGTCTAGATACTGGCCAGTCCTGTGGTTGATTAACTTCGATGATCGTACGTATGCGATGAATGGCAGGCTTATAAGTATGTAAGATAAGATTTGGGCGAATAAAAAATTAGAGAGTCCTTGCTGCCAATCTCGTATTGTGCTTAAATTCGTAAAGTCAAGTTCAAAAGACCAAAGCTCATCAGAATAATTACCATGAAAATATTTATAGAAAAGGCACAGGGAAATTACGTTACGGCGGTGTGAATGTAACTACTGCCGAGATGAAAAGAACATCTTGTGTTAAGCATGCATTTTGTCTTCTTACAGTTAATAAAAAGGGGGCCATTTTCGTTAATCAACCAGGAGTATATTTATTCACGGCTCACGGGTAACCGTGCGCGCATGCGCAATAAGACAGCAATATCCAATCATCGGAATGCACCTTCTGTCCAATCATATTTTCTAATCTATAAAATGTGTTCATTTTGCGTGAAGAAAAACGTGTCCAACAAAATCGCAAACTGGATCGGCAGGGCGCCCCAGTGTCATTCGGAGCAGTGTCAAGTTATTTTCTTCGTCACTTTATGAAAACGGAACACTGACATGACACCAACTATCTTGATCCCCTGCAGAACCCTCTGAGTCAACTCGTTCACTTGCCTTCTGCTTCCCAGTTTTATTTTCTTTTTCTTTTGCCACTTCTCAACCCCGACCGCATGTTTCTTAGACTATGAATATTTTTCTGTCAGGCTGCGTGACGTTACTAATCACTTCTACATCACGGTGGGATTCGAACGACGTTGATCGATCAAGACACGCGTATAAAAATAACAATTTATGGCATGATGCTAACTGTATAAACGCCTGCCTGGTCACTCCCATCTATCTATCTATCTATCTATCTATCTATCTATCTATCTATCTATCTATCTGCCTCAGTCTCTTCGTATCTATCTATCTAATTCAATTCACATCTATCTATCGAATTCAGTTACCATCTCTCTCTCTCTCGCCATCTATCTATCTATCTATCTATCTATCTATCTATCTATCTATCTATCTATCTATCTATCTATCTGCCTCAGTCTCTTCGTATCTATCTATCTATCTATCGAATTCAATTCACATCTCTGATTCTCTCTCTCTCTCTCTCTCTGTCTATTTATCTAATTCAATTTACATATATCTATCGAATTCAGTTACGATCTCTCTCTCAATCTATCTATCTATCTATCTATCTATCTATCTATCTATCTAATTCAATTCACATCTCTGGTTCTCTCTCTCTCTCTCTATCTATTTATCTAATTCAATTAACATCTATCTATCGAATTCAGTTACGATCTCTCTCTCAATCTATCTATCTATCTATCTATCTATCTATTCATCTATCTATCTATCTATCTATCTATCTAATTCAATTCACATCTCTGGTTCTCTCTCTCTCTCTCTATCTATTTATCTAATTCAATTAACATCTATCTATCGAATTCAGTTACGATCTCTCTCTCTCTCTCTCTCTCTCTCTCTATCTATCTATCTATCTATATATATAATTCAGTTCACATCTATCTATCGAATTCAATTCACATCTCTGATTTTCTCTCTCTCTCTCTCTCTCTCTCTCTATCGATCTATCTATTTATCTAATTCAATTCACATGTATCTATCGAATTCAGTTCCTATCTCTCTCTCGCCATCTATCTATCTATCTATCTATCTATCTATCTATCTATCTATCTAATCTATCTATCTATCTATCTAATCTATCTATCTATCTATCTATCTAATTCAGCTCACATCTATCTATCTAGCTATACATTTATATCATAAATCTGAATTTAAAAAATATCAATTTACTATTCTTCCCCTCAGTGATTCCTACAGTTATTAAAATAATAGCAGTAATTATCACGTTATAAGATTAAAAAAACGCACACACACTCACACACACAAACATACACGCACGCGCACGCACACACACTCGAAATCTATATATACATGACAAAGTGTAAAGAAAAGTTCCTTTAGGACTTAATCTAAATAAATGATGTTTCCGTTGAAGTGATAACACAAGTGCAAACAATTTCAGTGTCCCCCTCTTCTTCATGTCCATGTGAAGTCATATCAACGTAAACATCATTTCAGTCTGATAATGTCCTGAAGTACGAAATGCGTTACACGAAAATGTTTTCCCATTGTTATACATACATATATATATATATATGTGTGTGTGTGTGTGTGTGTGTGAAAAGTGTATATAAATATAAATAAATATATATATGTATAATTATTTATATATTATATGCTCGGTACTTATTAGAAAGCGCTCAATATCAGAGATAGAGCTAACATATAAATTAAACAATAAGGATTACAAATTTCTACCTGTTATACACAGTCACCAAAAACAAACAAATAACCAGCTTTAAATATAACAAATAAACCCCCATTTTTCTCAAAAATTTAAAAATAAATATAAATAATAATAATTTTTAAATATCATAATTGTACACAAACCCCACCACACGTATATACATACATGCGAGGAAATATTTTTCAGCGAAAAAAAAAAAATATATATATATATATATACATAATATGACATGTATACAGTCACGAGACACTAACGTGACATTTCCGCCACACTTCAATGTTTAAATTTCAACATTTCAACATACAAATGCGTATGTATAGACATAACACCACTCGTATACATACATGTGTCATAGCCGAAACTGCCCACATACGTTTATATATGTATGAGTCCTGACGGACGACCAAGTATGTATATGTGTCTGCATACATCGATGTTTGCGTTAGTACGATGAATGACAAAACGACGAAATTTCCCCCACCACTTCCACAATAACACCAATACACGCAATCTACATAAACCCAAATTTTAAAACATTAATCAGTTTGTCTGACGATCGCTAAAGCGTGAAACCCAGGGTCACAAACTCACATCTATCCAACCAAATATATATATATATATATATATATATATATATATATATATATATATATATATATATATATTCTGCTAGAACAATATTGAGAAAAATTTATGACAGGGTGAGAAAAGTTTTCTTGCGATGCATTATTTAGTCCGAGGAAGTCGTTTAGATCTCATCGGACTAAATTTGTTATGTTCGTGCAGACGAATGAGAGATTGCAGGGGAATTTTTAATTTAATTTTTAAAATCTAGCCGATTTCATTTAGTTTCTTTTTTCTTTTTGTTTTCATCTTTTGTCTTTATTAGATACCCAACACTGTGATAATAGAAGATTTGCCTGGAATGGTGAGATGTTGTAAGAACCAGGGCGCAAATTTACTATAGATAACCTTGCCATCAAAGCACTCTTTGACTTTATATACATTTACGGCGTCGTGAATTATTTTGTACCTTCATCATGGTAGCGTTTTTTATGTCAAAGTTGTGTTCGGTCTTTGATGTATTGTTTTGTAAAATGTACCATTTGTGTTCCTATAATCTGTTATTTAGATTCCTTGAGGTTTCTCCTATATATTTTTGGGACAATTGTTACAAGCGATGAATTAAATTTATCCTTCAGTTTTGAACTTATTATTTTGATTAGTATTGACTATGTTTATTATTGTTTTAGATGCAGAAGTAACAAATTTCATGTTGAGTTTAGATAAATTTTTTACAATTGTAGATGCAATAGTGTTAGTTGGTGGCCAATTAAGTTTTTGGATTCATTTGGTTTGTCTGGAGATCCCGCTTTTTTTTTTGAATATTTATTGAGACTTTCGTTTCGAATTGAATATAAAATAATCAGGGTACTGAAGAAGCTTGAAAGTGTTTTCAATGAATTTCCTCTCTTCATGTAATTACTGAGGGCTGCAAATTCTGAGTGCTCTAAATCCTGAGTGTTTTATCTTTACTTTTAAAATGCCGTCATTCTACAACTCTATATCTCACAGAAGCTTTCTTTACCCCATTTTGTTTTTTTTTGTTTTTTTATTCAAGTAGACTGAATTCCACCAGTGACTTATTTATCAAGTTTTTAAAAAATGGAAATTTATTCCTGATATTGTGCACACTTATTTGCTACTGAATCTTAGAAATTTCTTGTTGAAAATAGGATAATAATACAAAATTTACAAGTATCAATTTGAACAGATATATACAGTTTTGTAAGAGGAGCCCCTTTTCCCACGGAAAAAACAAAATGACAAGCCTATAGTTATTTCAGACGATCTCCATTCTTTAGTTCCGCCAGTTCAGACATTTCCAGCTAAAATCCACCTTGCTAAGTTCACATCTGTAATCCAGTTGTAAGAAACAATATCCCCTTCCAGTTGTTTCCTCAGAATTACTGCTTTATCGAAGAAATTATCGTGTGAATGTTTACAATATTAATTTCTTTAAGCCAAAGATCAATAGTTACCTATCTTCCATATACTCATCATCTTCACGTAGTTCTTACTACATTCATATCAAACACATAATTCACTAACCCTCTACTATGAGTGACTCTACAGCCTTGTATTGGCTTAACATTATATATATATATATATATATATATATATATATATATATATATATATAATTTTTACGGCCGTATCGTGACGAAACAGCGGTTTCCGAAATTTAGCAATGTCGTTGCCTGCTGGGTTTCCGCTTGGAAATACCAGATGCTGTAGTCTTCGATATCCAGGTGGTGTAATAGACAATGGCTCGGAATTTGAAATCACAGAGTCAAGTTTAAGTTCTAGTTGGATTTGTTATATTAACTTACGTGCAATTATTCTTAGGAAAAAGTATTTACGTCTTACCCACCTATTTATAGATTACTTAGTATGATATGTACGTGCAAGGCATTATTATCATAAATAAGTTTCTCTCAGTCCCAAAAATATTTTCTGGGTTTAAAGTTTTTAATAGTTAGACGTAAATTTGCACTATCTATCTATATATCTATCTATCTATCTATCTATCTCTCTCTCTCTCTATATATATATATATATATATATATATATATATATATATATATATATATATATATATGACCATATATATTTATGCAAACATGAATATATACTAAATATAGCTATTAAAAATAATGTTGGGCAATAAATAATTACTTTTTCCTCAGAAATTTATGTGCCTATAAATTCATACACGCGCCCTTTCAAACATACACTCAAACATATATATATATATATTTGCTTGTGTGTGTGTACAATTAAAAATATGCATATTTGGGCAGCATATTTTCATTCAAACATGTTATGAGTATAGCAACAAAGTTATCAAATATTTATAGCCACAAAGTATAAAATATTGCAGTCACTTAGGTGCTAATACCCTTGGGAAAAGGTATGACTCGTCTTCTTCTCCCCGTCGCTATGGGTACATAGTAGGACAGATCATGTTCTGTAGCCTTGGATGGCAACTAGTTTACCTCAGAAAGAAATGGCAACCTTCTGCAGGAAAAAATCTGCCTCGTCAGTCAGGTCTCGAAAGATATATGATCGCCTAAGCGTGTATCACGCATGGCACATAACTGACTGACTGATGTAGTTTTGCGTATAGATAATAAACACAATCTCTTCTCCTCTCCAGCATTAACTACTTGACTATAAGACTAGTTTCCGGATTTTTCTGTCAGGCATTTCGCAGAGATTCTAACATATATTTTATCTTCTAAGTAATTGTGAAATATAAGTAAAATTATATAAACACCGTAGACTGTTATTTATATTACATGTGTACCTTTCAAACCTGTTTTCGCCTACCCATTTAATGTATCCAACTAGATGAATGGTATTAACAAGACAAGAGTGGAATTAATACATGGCTTGTCGTAATTAAAGATTCGGTTTGTGGCTCAGGGTCAAGGCACCGATTGAGTACCCTAGTCTTGTCGTAGCGTTGCTTTATCAATACCTTGTTTTGGTTGTCAGAGCATTTCATAAGTGATGGAGTGGAAATGTCCAAGTGAGATCGACCGGTCGGTCAATGAAAAGCAATTGGCTAATCCGGCTCGTAATTCCATAAGATATTTTCCTTGGAACAGGTTCAGCAGGGACAGTGTAGCTTTAGTAGTTATTTGGCGATATGGTAGGGTTGGGGGCTTGTGGGTGTTCTGATGTGATGCATTGCACTTCCTTCATATAAAGCATGATTGTCTGTGCTCGTCATGTATGACACTTCAACCGAGTTACCATGTTTCTTCCTGTTTCCTTCCTTCTTTTTCTTCTTCTTCTTCTTCTTTTCTTCTTCTTCTTCTTCTTCTTCTTCTTCTTCTTCTTCTTTTCCCGCCTCCACGTGATCTGCACGCTGGTGGTGTAATCATCTTCATTGCCGTCTTCATCACATTAGCTAAAACAGATTCCATTACGGCGATGATAGGAGCCGCCATTTTCATCTGCTCTGCCTTTCCGTTTATTGACAACGGTGTGGTGAATGCCAGCAGTATTGTCATTTTCATCAGTGCAGGTGTCGTTATTATCATGGAATCGATTTCATACGACCTCCTGTCATCGTAATCACCGATTGTCAACAAGGCTTTTCTTCGTACGGTAACTACAAGGAAGACCGGAATGAAATCCTCATCAGTCACTGGACTCAAAGAACGGCACACAAAAGCTGAATAGAAAATATTCGTCACTATTGAAAGTAGCATTTTAAAAGGGTGCAATATTTTCCAATTTTTATAGCACGATACTAATTTTTAATTTTAGAGCCGCACCAAACGTCCAATTGTCAGAATTCTGAATAAATTAACTCAAAATTTTTATCTTTGTCAAACGGGTCAAAAAGATAACGAATATTTTTCCGGAAAAATGAAACATTTTT